GAGGGTATAGTGCTAAGTGAAATTAAGTCAGTCAGAGAAAGACAGACACTCTACGATTTCATTCATTTGTAAATTTCACTCATATGTGGAATTTAAGAAACAAAACAAATGAATAAAGGGGGGGGGGGAGAGAAACCAAAAAATGGACTCTTAACTATAGAGAACACACTGATGGTTACCAGAGGGGAGGTGGGTCAGGGAAGGATAAATACGTGATGGGGATTAAGAGTATACCTCTCATGTGAGCACTGAGTAATGTATAGAATTGTTGAATCACTATATTGAACACCTGAAACTAATATGACACCGTATGTTAACTGTATTGCAATTAAAATAAAAAACTTAAGAAAAAATAATAAATAAAATGCCATTAATCTCAATTTTTGTAATCCAAACCCCTCAGTCATGGAAAGCCTTTGCTGTGATTGAAGGAAATGGAGTTGGGATGGGGGTGGGGAGGGAGGCCACCACACCCTAGGAATGGTTTTTATAAGGTGAGGGGATGGTGAGATAGTGGCGCTAGGAGAAGGTCTAATGGCCGTCCCACAAGAAGCCTCCTGGGGTGTCATTACTTAGAATTAACCTTAGCCCATCCCTTGATTTAGTCAGACCTGAGGAAACTAACTAGTACTCAATAAACTAATAGGAGGTTGAAGTCTCATTTATGAGCAATGAGGCTTTCCCTCATGCAGTTATCTCCCTAGCCAAACCAGCCATTAGCAAGTAGCTTGGGAAACATGGACTTCCATCTGGTCTGTATGAGGGCTGATGAGCCATCCCCACCCTCAGCAGACTATTTGTTTCCACTTAACTAAAATATTCACACCCACCACATTTGATGTCTTTCCCTCCTGGGTGGTATGAGACGAACTCTTACTTTCTTACTTCCATTTGCCATACTCTAGTTGAGTGGTCCCTCAAATGCCATTACTGCCGGCAAAGTGCGTGGGGAGCTTGTTTACCTTAGAGTCCGGAGCCCCACCACAAAGATTCTGCTTCCATGTGTCCACAGTGAGGCTGGGAGGCAGATTGCTGGCGAGCCTCCAGACATTCCCAGGCAGCAGGGAGTGACTTTGAACCAATCTGATTTGGCAGGCAGGTAGGACTCCAAGCCCTCCATGCCTACTTTAGCATGAGCGGCTCTGTGTGTAACTATTTTATTTGTGTTCTCTTCTGCCAAAGATTTGTTTGAATACAGATTTTCAGCACCGTGACAAGAATTGGTCAGGTATTTATCCAAGTTAACCTTGACCTTTCGATTAACACTTTTTCTCCGACAAGGTTATAAAACAATTGTGTGGAAGCCCATCATTAAATTAAAATTGCATTTACCACAAGAAATAAAGCAAAAGATGTACCTCTGAAACAAATAATACATTATATGTTAAAAAAGAAGAAGAAGAAGAAGAAGATAGCAGGAGGGGAAGAATGAAGGGGGGGAATCAGAGGGGGAGATGAACTATGAGAGACGATGGACTCTGAAAAACAAACTGACGGTTCTAGAGGGGAGGGAGTTGGGGGGATGGGTTAGCCTGGTGATGGGTATTAAAGAGGGCATGTTCTGCATGGAGCACTGGGTGTTATATGCAAATAATGAATCATGGAGCACTACATCAAAAACTAATGATGTAATGTATGGGGATTAACATAACATAATAAAAAAGAAAAAAAAAGAAAGCAAAAGAAACTTCTATTTTCTTTCCTTTTTTTTAAAGATTTTATTTATTTACTTATTTATTTATTTGACAGAGAGACATAGTGAGAGAGGGAACACAATCAGGGGGAGTGGGAGAAGGAGAAGCAGGCTTCCCACAGAGCAGGGAGCCCGATGCAGGGCTCAATCCCAGGACCCTGGAATCATGACCTGAGCCGAAGGCAGACGCTTAACGACTGAGCCACCCAGGCACCCCGAAACTTCTATTTTCATGACAATCTTTTTCCTCAGTCATTGCTCTCCAATATAAATGAAAATGTAAAATTTCTGAACACCATAGTCTGAGGTACCACCTGATTTTTAAATGTGTAGTAGTCATTGAACAGAAGCTGAATTTCTCCTTCCACTTGGTATTTCAAGAAAATCTAAAATATCCCAAGTAAAAATGATTTGTATTTTAAAGTGACTATTTGTGCATGCACAACTCTGATTTTGTGTACACGAGAAGGACGTCTTGGTTATGTGCAGGGAGTCATCATACCGCGCTATTTTTCCTATTTGAAATGACAAACAAGCTGACACTAGTCTCTTTGATTTAAAAAGGAAGAAGAAGAAAAATTAATTAATTAATTAATTTAAAAAGAAGAAGAAATCATAATCATGATACAATCAAGGTATAACCACTATCAATGTTTAGGAGAAGTTTATAAAGACCATAAGCTGACATTGGCAAGAACACCATGATAGACTTTTTCGTAAATTTATTTTTTATTTAATTAAATATGGTATAAAGGCTGGTAGAAGTGTAATATAATTGTGTAAATAAATCCTGTTACTAGAGAGATGTACAGATTCATTTTTTACTGCATCTTGAAACTTTTGACATAGAGAATCCACCTCTGGTTTTTTAAAAAATCCCATTTACCCATCGAACAATTATTTACTGATCATTTTCAATGTGTCAGGCAACATGCTAGGTACCAGAGATCCAACAGAGAACAAAAAAGATAAGACCTCTGCAGTCATATTCTACTGCAATAGAGCTGGGAATGGGAGGAGACAACACAGAAGTAAGTAAATAAAATCATTTCATGTTGCAGTAAATGCTGAGGAAAATAAGTAGCATTCCTTATATGGGAGGAACCTTATATGGGAGAGAATCTCAGAGGAGAACATAATTTAGAGAAGGTAGACAGGGAACGCCTCCCCACAGAGGTGATTTTCTGAGAGTGAAGAGAAGAACCAGGCTTGCTGGCTGCTAAGAGCTTGAGTAACATAGTGAGAAGTGGTCAGAGAATTGCAAAACTGGAAGTAACGATGAGCAGGAAGGTTAGAGGATGGTGGTCAGAGAGATGATGGAGGTGGCAGAGGTCTACGTGCAATTAAGAACACTTCAGTTAAAAGCGCGGTGGTCGGGACCCCTGGGTGGCTCAAGTTTGTTAAGCATCTGCCTTCAGCTCAGGTCATGATCCCAGGGCCCTGGGATCAGGTCCCTTTTGGCTCAATGCTAAGGAAGATTTGGACAGCTGGTTTATGTGGCTACCTAAGCTGGTGTATGGTGATGAGGGGTTACTCACACAATCTTGCACTAGAAAAAAGCACTCCCCATCCCCACCCCACCCCACTTAAAGCTCAGCTAGTAGAAGGACCATGATGCCTGGAGGTGGCTCCCATCCACAGTGCTTTATTTCTCTGCTCTTTTGCTCAATTTGCTAGGATACTCCTAATCAATCGGGAAGACTTAATTCCATTTATTCATTCAACAAATATGTGAGAGCAATTATTATAGGCTATCGACCATTCTAGACACTGGGGATACAGTGGTTAACTGGAGGGTTGGACGATAGATAGATGATAGATAGATAGACAGATGATAGATGATAGATAGATAATAGATAGATAGATAGATAGATAGATAGATAGATAGATAGATGATAGATAGATAACCTCTAAGAAACTTTCCCCACCACTCCCTTCACCACTAGGCTGGTAGCCCCATGCATTATTCCCACAGCACATCATTTATTCATTAATTTTCCAGTAACATGCTGACAATTCTATAGGTATATCTCTAGGCCAGTCTTCTCCTCAACCATCCTTTTCAAGTCTAAGTAAGATCATGTTACTTCTCTGCTCAGAGCCCTTCAATGGCTCTCTAGTTTACCCAGAGTAAAAGCCAAACTCCTTACAATTTTTAACCCTGAGAGGACACCATCTTGTAAATCTTGTCTTCCGTGTCTTCCCTTATGCAGTCATTGCAAGAGCTGTAGGAAGGATGTAGTCAGATGAACAGTAAATGGTAGGTAGGCTGATTCATCCCACTGACAAAAGAACTAAATTCTTGTTCTACTTTTCATTTTGTATAGCAGGGTATCAAATAAACTTTTCTGGATTCCCTAATCATTCTTTACTTGGGAAGGAGGAAAGGTTTCATACATGAATGAAATTGTATGATTATAGTTATTAAGGTATTACGATAAATGAATTTTATAAAATAAATCATTTTCCAAGGGAAAAAATATCTCTTTTTGCAAGTGCTTAGAAAACTGAAATGGTCATGAGGATTTTATATTTAGCCTTGCTACAATTTTAAGTTGTAATTTATGACTTTGAGCTCTTCTGTGTTTACAGAATATCCCAAAAACAACAAAAAAATTTCAATCCAAATACAGCTGCATTTTATATCTACATCTAGTGCACTAAATAAATCATTGCTTGAAGGTAATATGCTCCCAAATAGCTCAAGATTTATTGACCTACAGGACGATGGAGTACATTCTATTGTGTTACAGGCAAAGCTAAGATGAAAATTCAGGACACTCTCCTTTCCATCTTGTGTTTACTCTGTGCGTGTGTGTGTGTATATATATGTGTGTGTGTGTGTGTGTGCACATGCGCACACGCACATTTTGGAAGGTTATATAATTGATAACCACAGATAACAAAGATAGTACAAAAACAATAACTGATTTACTATGATCATAGACTCAAATCAATACTAGTAGTTTTATCCCAATAACATTCAGATAATTTAGCATGAGAAAATCTATTAATGTAATGCAGCACATTAACATTAAATGAATGATAACATGTAAGTAATCCAAATATATATAATATAAAATGTGAAACTTTGGTTCAGAATGAAGCATGGATACCGTTTTCATTGTTATATTTTCTCTGAAGAAACTTACTAAGAATGTATATTCAGCATGCTTTGCTAAATTGTTTTGGCAGCTTACATGAAATGTGCTCTCCTCGATAGTATTCTAAAACAAATATGTTACGATTCTTGTATACCCAGGTTTGTGAATATGCTTTCAACATTTCTCCTTCTCCATTTTAACAGAACCCCGAGTTCCACATAACTGAGGAGCCCAAGGGAAAAAAAGAAAATCTTCTGCTCAACTCTGAGAGGCCAACTAGGGTCTTAAGGAAGACTAGCCACTCACAAGGAGAGAATAGAGCTTTGGCTAAGACCACAGGGCCACCAACAATTAAGCTAAGTGAAAAACATGAAGGAACTAGGATCGTTTTTAAGAAGTTCAGCGAAAGGAAATGGCCATTGGACATCCGCCCTTTAAACAAAAGTTTAGTCAAAGACAAGAGATGGAAGGAAACAGATGTGGCCCAGGAGACACGCAGGTCTTTCCTTCAGGAGTTTTGCAAGAAATATGGTGGGGTGAGTCGTCCTCAGTCACATCTTTTTCATATGGTATCCAGGATCTATGTGGAAGATAAACACAAAATCTTATATTGTGAAGTGCCCAAGGCTGGCTGCTCCAACTGGAAGAGAATTCTGATGGTACTAGGTGGGTTGGCCTCCTCCGCATACAACATCTCCCATGATGCTGTTCACTACGGGAAGCATTTGAAAAAACTAGATAGCTTTGACTTAAAAGGGGTATATACTCGTTTGAACACCTACACCAAAGCTGTTTTTGTTCGTGATCCCATGGAAAGGTTGGTGTCTGCATTTAGGGACAAATTTGAACACCCCAATAGCTATTACCATCCGGTATTTGGGAAGGCGATTATAAAGAAATATCGGCCAAACGCCTGTGAAGAGGCACTAAATAATGGATCAGGAGTCAAATTCAAAGAGTTTGTCCACTATTTGCTGGATTCCCACCGTCCCGTAGGAATGGACATTCACTGGGAAAAGGTCAGCAAACTCTGCTCTCCGTGTTTGATCAACTATGATTTTGTAGGGAAATTCGAAACTTTGGAAGAAGACGCCAATTACTTTTTACAGCTCGTGGGCGCTCCAAAAGGGCTGAAATTTCCACACTTTAAGGATAGGCACTCTTCCGATGAAAGAACCAATGCTCAGGTCGTGAGACAATATTTAAAGGATCTGACCAGAACTGAGAGACAATTAATCTATGACTTCTATTACTTGGACTATTTGATGTTTAATTATACAACTCCATTTTTGTAGTTTGCATTCTTTTTCTAAAACCCTGTATTTACTCCATGATGGCCTCCAATCAGCTAACTGTAATTTTCCTACAATTCTCCGTGTGAGAGAGAATTAAACTAAGTGTAGCTGTCTCGATTTAATGAATTTTTCCCAAGTAGTATGACACCAATTGGCACAAATTTATAGGAAAATTACCTTACAGAGATGTGTAAACAACTTGACTTGCTCTAAAATGTTTGGGAAATAGCTGCTTTTGCATTATGGATTATATTATAGAAGCAATAACCTAGCCAGCTGCTACATTAGCTTCAACAGCCTCTTGCAATGATAGGAAAAGGGATCTAAAATAGCATGAGTACATGTCTACATCCTGAAATTTGTTGTCTAAAATGCATGGATATATTTTTAGCAGTCTATGACATACTATTTGAACATTGGAGAGTTTTCTGACACCCTGGAAATCTTTCTATGATAAACCAATTTTGAAATAATATTTTGGACTAGGCATTTAACTTTAGATTGGAAGGCATATGTGATTTACAATATGAGAATATAGCAGAAAAACCAGATGAGGCTATGGCTTTTTATATTCAACAGCCAATAAAAAAATGCACAACATGCTAAGATCAAAGCAACAAAAACAACCTTCCTCTTCCAGAAAAACTTAAGGGAATTGATTCTGTTTTCTTTTGAGCCCTCTGTGCAGAGACATAATGAACATAACCACTAAAGGTCTTCTCTTCTGAAACAGGCGGTTGAGAAGTTTAAGCCTCATCAGATATAAATGTGCTCCTAATTCTGGCTTAATTGGGCAGGGGGGAAATTGTTTCAGGATGGAATAATCATCAAAAACAAAAGTTGCCCCTCTGAATATAGGCCTCAAACAATAACAAAGTTTTATAAGAATATTATTTGAATCAAAGCATCATGTGTGTAGCTTTCTATGTGGAATGTGCTCTAAGAATAGCTTTTGTTTCCAGTCTAATTACTTAGCTTGGGAATGACTTTTTAAAAACTCACATACCACTTCAAAGATAGGTTATATTCTAGAGAATAAACAAAACAAGAGCCCCTAGAAACATTTTTAATAGGCTTATGCATAAACAAATTAAGGTATTTTGTTTTTAAGTTTAAATATTCTATACTAACACAGTCAGATACCACTGCATTCATGTATTAAATCAAAGTTTTTGGAAAATAGGACCAGGTGTCACCCTTATCAAAAGTTGTAATGCATTTTGGAAATTTTTTCCAACAGACCCTAAATTTGAAGACACATTTGGATGGGGAATTTATTTTAATTGGTTGACTATTACCTTGAGTTAAGAAAACCACATGTCATTCAAACCTTGTTTAAATGCAGCTCTTGAACATGTTCTTCTTCCCAAGCGATCATTGCTGCTCGTCAGTAAATATTCGGTAATGTCTCTCAGAAAAAAGTAGTTATTAATATTTAAATATTAATAGACCAAGCTAGTTACAGTTGTACTTATTTCATTCTGATTTTCCATTTCATGGCTGAGTATTCATAAATTGCTTCCCTCAACACATACCTGCCTTGTCCCGTCTGTGTCTCCCAATGAGTACGTAACTGCAGTGGGCTCCCAGATCATAAGTATTAAAACTTTTAAGCCAACCTTTTACTACTTTCCACTCCATTTACTCTTGCCTCTAGACCATACACTTAGGCTGTGCTCTCTGTTTTTAAGGAGTTTTACTCTAGAGTAATCTAAATCGTATAATTTAAATGTTGCCTAACCATGTAGAGTAGACTCCTTGTAACTTGGAGACATTGAAATTATCTTTTTATGGAGGAAGAGAGGGAATATAAACTATGCCAAGAAGCCTGAAATTTTATTCCTAAACTACAAAAAAAAAAAAAAAAAAACTAGTGTTTGATGGAATCTGCTATGAATTATAGAAGAAATTTTCTCAATGTTATTCCTAAAACCTTATAAGGAACGAAAAAAAAAAAACACCTTCTTTTCATAACTTTGGAAGAAAAAATGGAAACAAGTATCCTATCTTTCTCTTATTAGCACTTCTACTGCACTTATGAGGATGGAATATATATGTGGAATATACACACACACACAAACATGTTTGTATATGTTTGCACGCACACACACACACACACAAATATATCTATAATACTGTTTGGCATTGGAGGGAGTGAAGAGGGCTGATGCTCTCTATCAAAGCTGTTCTATGCCTTTTGCTGTACATTCTCCTTTACACTGAGCCTGTGTAACCAGAGGTGGTCCTTCAGTCATTCTCTTCCTAAAAGACTCCGATACCAGCAGGCATCCTTTGTGGCTGTGAGTTCCAGAGGCCACAAGTTAAAAAGCTTTTATGAAGGGGTGCCGAAGTGGCTCAGTAGGTTGAGCGGCTGACTCTTGGTTTCAGCTCAGGTCATGATTTCAGGGTTGTGAGATCAAGCCCCGCGTTGGGTTCCACACTCAGTGGGGAGTCTGCTTGAGGATTCTCTCCCTCTGCCCCTCCCCCCAAACTCTTTCTCTCTCTCTCTCTAAAATAAATAAATATATCTCTTTAAAAAAAGGAGGGTTATGAAGGAAGAACACATTTTTTATGTACCTCCTCTTCTTTTAAATGACTTCTGTTCACGGCAGGGCCGAAGAAGCCAGTCATCATCTTGGATTCCTTGTGATGTTAAACACCTTTTCCATTCATCGTTTCTGAATTACTCTGCTTTGCAGACCAGCTCACATTCACCACTGTCGTTTCTGCCTGTGCACAAGCCCCAGGTGTGAGCATCACTGCTCCTTTGGACAGTCACAATTTAGATTCCTAAAGGCAAGTAACCAAATCTAGACACATCTTCCAGATGTCCAATGTTCACATTTTAACACTAGCATGCTTTAGGTATAATTATAAGTTCTCTAATTAAACCCTAAGGATCTTATTTGTTTTTATAGGCAGCAGTAACAACCGGGACAGGCCTGTCTGGAATTACTGGTACAGTAAAAGTTGGCAATTAAATCCAAAATCACAGTTACTTAACGTGGTAAACAATCTATGGATATGTGTGGTTGATGTGATTGTGCCTGGGAACTGTCATAAATTTCAATGCAAATGCATGTACAGGACACTCAACTTTCTAATTTTCTCACACATGTTTGGAAATATCCTTTAAGTCAATGGAAGTGCGGCTACTTGCTAAATTCTCTAACTTCACAGGCTATAAAATATTATCTAGCAATTCAAGAGCTACTTGGATACCATTTATAATCAGGAAGAGGAAAAAACTTTTCCACTTTACATATGAATAATTATTCATCAAAGAAGTATTGTCTCCTAAAATATATAGTGTTTAGCTGAAAAGAATATATAAGCAGATGCAGGGCATTTTGAATATGAGTTCCCTTTGAAAGGTCATTTGCAGAATTGGTAGAACTTGGAATCCATAGGCTGAGGCTACTGTAAACATCTCCCTGCTGTAAGTTCTCACTTGACCTCTTGGGGCATCTTGAGCCTCCAGGCTTTCATGGAATATGGCAAAGCAGAAACTCTGCCATGCCTAACATCCCCAACATGCTCTGAAATTTGAAGGATGGTTGCCCTTAGGCCTTTAAGAGTAGCTTAATCACCGGAGGACCTTAAACCAAGGCTAGTTTAGTCCTACCTCTAGGGGCATACCTTTTTAATCTCAATCATAATCATTATAAAACTATTCATGATAATAATCAAACGTTTATTCCTTTATTCAATCTCCATAGTCAATCTAAGATGCTATGTAGGCCCGTGCACATGCATGTGCGCGCACACACACGCACACAATAATATAATAAAGAAAACTAGGGGTGCCTGGGTGGCTCAGTTGGTTAAGCATCTGCCTTCGGCTCAGGTCATGATCCCAGGGTCCTGAGATCGAGCCCCATGTTGGGCTCTCTCCTCGGCGGGGAGCCTGTTTCTCCCTCTCCCTCTGCCTGCCTCTCCTTGCTTCTGCTCCCCCCCTCAGTGAATAAAATCTTTTAAAAAAGAAAGAAAACTAAAGCAGAGTGGTTGAGTGACTTGCTTAGTCACAGCTGGGGGGGGTGCCTGGGTGGCTCAGTCAGTTAAGCAGCCGGCTCTTGGTTTTCGGCTCATGTCTGATCTCAGGGTCATAAGATCGAGCCCCATGTCTGGCTCCCCGCTCACCACGGAGTCTGCCTGAGTTTCTCCCTCCCCCTTCCTCTGCCCCTCCCCCCTTCTCTCTCTCTCTCACTGAAATAAATAAATAACTCCTTAAAAAAAATAAAAAGAATCACAGCCGGTAATTAGGGTTGGGAGCCAGAATGAATCCAAGCAGCAAAAACCACTACCAAACTCTTTTCTTTCTTGGTTTGAAAACAGCTAACGGCAAGAAACATATATTGGCATCTCGAAACTTTTTTGATGCAAATATAGATATTTGTGTGTGACACGTGTGTGTGTGTGTGTGTATTTAGCTGGTTATCGCATTTCAAATCAGCTCATCCCTTTAGTCCTGATGAGTTAAACTGACAGATTCAAAGACTTTGTAAGAAATTAAGCTTTCTTCCCCCTTTCTTAAAATTCCAGTTGATCATGGAATACAGTGTAAGAAGAAAAAAAAAAAGTCCCTGGAACAAATTTAGCACAACAAAAACAAAATATCATTTTGACAAGAAAGTCCAGACAGCTACAGGAGTGGGCAAGGTCAAGGAGAATATAGTCCAAAGAGGGAGGGAGTCTGGCCAACTTACCCCAAATCAGCACTTGAAGATGGTCATGGTTCATCAGTTTCTGCCAAGAGAAAGCTCCTTAAATACTGCTGGGAAATACACGATCGATCGTGTATAGTCTCTTTCCTAAGCTCCTATCCCCAGTACTAGGTTAGTTGTTAGATAACCCTAAACTGGCTCAAGAAGATTATAGAAGAGGGGCACCTGGGTGGCTCAGTTGGTTAAGCGGCTGCCTTCGGCTCAGGTCACGATCCCAGGGTCCTGGGATCGAGCCCCGCATCGGGCTCCCTGCTCGGCGGGGAGCCTGCTTCTCCCTCTCCCTCTGCCTGCCTCTCTGCCTACTTGTTCTCTCTCTCTATCTCTGTCAAATAAATAAATAAAATCTTTAAAAAAAAAAAAAGAAGAAGATTATAGAAGAGTAGAGAGGAGCAGGTTGACTCAAACTAACCAAAAAACACCCTGAAAAGTTCAAGATAAACAAGTGCTTGCCTAGAAGAGGGCAGACTTGCCCAGGCCTTCCTTCGGGATAGCCCACATGAGGAAGGCCAAGTCTGGGGAGCTCAGCAAAAGGGTGTTGCCTCACATCATTTAGTTCCCAGAGTTGCCTGGTCACACACACATCTTAACCACAATCATATCCTTGCAGGCAGATTCAAATCCTTTTAAGCAATCCTTTTTCCTATCTCTAAGCCTTTGTTCAAGTCTTAACTCTATTTTGAAATACTCTCCTCTCTCATATCTAGACATTCATTTCATGTTAAGTCACCAAGGAATCTCTTTATTCAGTTTTGCAGCCTCATTACTTCATGAGCTCTCCAATCAATAGAAAAAGGCAAAAAGATTTTCCCCTGATGTGACACGCATCAGATTCTTCTTTTACCAATAAATGCAGGCATTCCTTCCCTTCCTTTTTTTTTTTTGCTTCATTTATTTGTTTGTTCATTTG